TGTGTGTGTGTGTGTGTGTGTGTGTGTGTGTGTGTGTGTGTGTGTCTCAGATTTCCTGCTGATTGAGCTTGTGCTTCTCAATGTTCAGTATTCAGCTTTCAGGTTGATGGTTGAATTGATATTTCTAACCCTGCTGTGTCTACTGTGTGTGTGTGACTGTGTACATGTACATCTGTGGACTTCTACTGTACAGCAGGTGTTCATGTGTGTGTGTGCACGTGCATGCGTGTCTGTGTGTGTGCGTGTGTGTGTCAGTGTCAAACTGGCAGGTTGGACTCAGCAAGGTGAATCTCACTGTCACTCATCTCTCTCTTCTGTTTCTCTCAGGGGTGCAGTGTGTGAGTTAGGAGGAGGTATGACTTGTCTTGCAGGGCTAATGGTAAGTCACACACACACACACACACACACACACACACACACACACACACACAGGCCTGGGTTCCCTAATGAAACTGACCCTCACCGATCAATACACAAACAGCTTGTGCACACAGTATGCTTACCTGTTCATATGCAATATCATTCAGTTGTTGTGTGCATGTGTACTGTTATCCACGTTTTACTTGTTATTAAATGAACATTAGTCATATTCACACATGTAAAACTGCAAGGGAAAAGTATATTGTCTCACATGCGAGGATGACAGGTGGTGCTAAATTACCTTGTATTTGTTAGATGCTGCAGTTGTGTGTTATTACCTGACATTAATATCAGTTTGCAGACTGAACACATTATTCCACTATCCTGGGAGGCTGCATGTCCTCAATGGAAAGTAATGGCACAAGATAGTTATGTTCTGTATAGTAATTTGTGTAGATATACTGTATATGCACTCACATACAGTATATTCATATATAAATACACAAGATCAGAAAGTAACTGGTGACACAAATGTCTTTATTGTTAACATAGCAGGGGTATTCGCATTTGTTGTCTCGTTGGTGTGTTATTATGTTGAATTAAGCAAAACAGAGTCAACCGAGCTCATTAATTATCAGGTTTTAATTGTTAAGTATGAATTACTGAAGATGCCGGCAATTTAATGATTATGTGCTTTTATTTTACGAGCACACACACGCTCTCACACACGCTGACACACTCAGATATACCACAGTCTGTTAACCATAGGGTTTATTAGCCGGAGACTTAAGGGCCCCTCCACATAGCAGGCGTCAGTGTCCCATCGATCTGCTGGATGCGTGAGGTGTGTGTGTGTGTGTGTGTGTGTGTGTGTGTGTGTGTGTGTGTGTGTGTGTGTGTGTGTGTGAGCCTGGTTTTATCTCCTGGCAGTCAATACACCATGTTTTGACATTGGTGACTTGAGATGGAATCCTTCCTTCACACCTCTCCTTCTCCTCCTACCTCCTTCATCCGTCACTGACACCACAGTCACAGTTTTTTTTCTCCTCTGTTGTCCACGTGAGCTTCATTATTTACAGTTCATTATTAATGTCTCAGTATTTGATAGATCCTCATGAAAGGTGGTGCAGATACTCCTTTAACTTTAATGTGGACATCTCTTAACTTTTTCCTCTTGTGTCATAATAATATATATTTCATAATGCTGTTGATAAATGCCAACATTCTCAAACCCCTCAAACTCTACTGATCTGTAAGACCTGGGAAGAATAAATCAAGATCAGAAACAAATGTACAAGTAAACAGCGTCATGTCAAAAAACTTTAAGTAAAATTCTTAAATATGAGACAGTGTGAGGAAAAGTATAACATACTGTATATCAAGTCAAGTCATATCACTTGTTTAAAACTTGGCTGTAAAGTTTAATATGTCTCCATTCTTAAGTAAATCATGTTTTTCTCTCTGAAAGCAAAAGTACTTATTATTTATCTTTTATTGTGATTGGTGTATTTTTCAGAATGAACAAAAACACAGAAGAGAACAGCTCTTTAGGAATCACTGCGAAAAAACCCATAAAATGCATGAGGTTTGGTTTGATATCAGATTCACAGCAGTGCACTGTTTGACATGTTAATATTTGTTTGGATTAGAATGTGTGTGAGCATTTGAAATGGCCTGACTCTGTGTGTGTGTACTGTTGGTGGTGGGTGGCGGGGTGTAGCTAATGGGTTGCCAGGTTGGGCTCTTGATCTTTCAGCTGGATGCCCTGGTTCAGCCCGGAGGTTCCTTCCTCCATTTGAGCAGATGGTGGAACTCGCAGTGCTCAGTGACCCCCTCACACACCCTGCAGCGCCCGAACGCGTGTGTGTGTGTGGGTCTGTGTGTGTGTGTGGGTGAAAGCTCGCATGTTTGTGTGCTTGTTTCAGAAATGTTCATATACTGGATATGTGATGCATCATGTATTTTCTACAAGTGAAGATTACATTGAATCAGCCATATAGGAGTTGCGCACACGCCAACACAATAGCTACTTGCTCTTGCCCTCACCCACGTGTATATGCACACACACACTCCTTCACAGAAATTGACAGCCTGACACACACTTGCTGATATAAAAAAAAAGCATCTGCAAAGAAAAGAAAATGTGAAAAGATGAGGTTATACTAAAGCACATACCTCTCTATCTACATCTCCCTCACACACGGCGCGGCACAAAGCTTTCTATCCATTCTCCTGTCTCCCTCCCTCTCTCTTTTTCTTTCTCGCTGTCTCTCGTAGTCTGCGCCGCAAAGTTATATGAAGGGCATCAGGCAGGCCCGGCGAGCCGAGTGCAGAGTGACAGCGGCGAACGGAGTGATGGCTCAGCCCGATAAACACCCAGCGTCAAATGAAAAGGCTCTGCGCTTGCCATCATCCCCTGTCACAATGCAATTACTGAACAGAGTGATAGCAAGATAGCAGCCCCCACCGCTAGCCACAATGATAAAAGTATTGACTGATTTGATTGAATGATTAAAATAATGCAGACATAAAAATGGGGTGAAGATAGAGAGGGAAATGGCAGAGAAGAGAGGGAGCAATGGAGAGAGAGGGTGGGGCGGGCTGGGCTGCCAAGAGTGAGGCTTTGTAGATATGGTTATGTCATTATTGTGTGTGTGTGTGCGCGTGTGCATGTGTGTGTGTGTCTGCGTGTGTGTGTTCAGATGTTTGCTTCATCTAACGGGGCCTTTGGTTTTGTTCTTTTGTTCCGTGTTGTCTCATTCCTCTGTCTCTCTGTCTCTCAGGTTGCCATTTGTGCTGACGTGGAGGAAGTTCTGCTATCAGATGGGAATGAGAAGTCCATTCAGAGTATCCTTTCATCGTCCTCTCTCCTTCTCTGCCTGTCTATCTCTCCATCTCGGCCTCATTCCTCCACCTCACGTTTATTTATATGCATTCATGTGAAATAGTTTCTGTGAGCAGGAAACAGGGTTCCTTAAAATGTTGTCATAAATTATAAATATATGTGTAAATCATACATATTTAAGTGCAATAGCTCTTCGCTGAAGTTTTACTATACAGACTTTTCTTTGAGGCTTTAGGGAAAATATACAGTCGCTATAAAATGTACAGTCGCTGTAACCTCTGAGTTTCATCCCCAAATCCAGAGATGGTGTCGGAGCGAGGGAAGAATAGTCATCGTTCACCTCTTTTATCTTTAGATGGGGCGCCCACAGCGACAAATATCCAGCACCAGTGCTCAGTATGGCATCTACCAATCCTGGCTGCCCGCAAAGCCAAGTTAAGAGCTCAGTAATTGCCATCCTGTCAGATTTAGTGTGAGACTTCATCTAATGCTAAGGCTAGGGTTAGGGCTTGATGAGTGTTTTTCGAAGAAGGAACAATCAAGGTTTGTTTAAAATGTTTTTGTGTGTGGTTAAGGTTTAAGACCTATAATTAAGTTTTTTGGGACAAATCTTTAGGCCCGATTTTTGTATTTGTTATTTGAGTGGGTTATCGATCAACTCTTGTCAGCTTACAAACCATCGTACTCCACTTTTTCATTTTGCACTTGTCCCTGTCTGTTCTCCTCTGCGGCCTCTCATCTTCCCTCTTTTCTTCTTTCGTCGTTCCTGTCCTCCCCCCCCCCCGTCCTTCCACATCTTTCTCAAAACTCTCTCAAGAACTTTACAGAGAAGAAAAAAGACGCTGTGACTCGTTACAGTTGTTTCACAAAAGCAGGAAATATAAATATGCATTTCTTCCCCCACTGACCAACATTGCACTTCCATATTTTGCCCTGCTTACAATATATCTGTCTCGGGCAGCAACAATTCTCCTTCGCTGATCACAATGAGACCAAACAGTAACATTATGGAGCCTGAACACACACACAGACACGAGGTTACACAAACAATGCACCATTGACCGACTGCTTTGTTACCCAGAACAAACACGTAGAGAATTGTAAGTGAAATCATAGCGAGAAATTGAACGACGAACACACAGACAGGCTGAAAATTCATTCTGGACTCCACGTTGGTCCGTTCACACACTCCAGAGTCTGTGTGGCGTTTCCTGTCACTGACTTAGCCTCGTGCTAATGAACGCTGTTTGTTTCGCCCGGCCTCGTCGCACAGCTCGTGGTACAATGGAGAGAGATGGCGAGTTGTGATAGTGCTCAGTTTTTATTCAGTGAAATAGATGAGAAGATATTTCAGAGAAAAATAAGTTCCGGACAGACGATATTTAGTTAGATAATGTAAATCCAGAGATTTGTCCCTTTTCCTCAGAAGTTGTTGATCTCGTTGTGCAGAAACACACACAAACACACACCAGAGAGAGGAGGCGACTCTGCTGCTGTGACCTTGAATACTCATGTTGAAAATCAATTCGAAACGTTCCATTAAGAATGATTGATGCATGTCATTGGCTGCTACTTCAAGTGATGGGAGCAAATATTCCTCCACTTTAATGGTCAATAAACCCAAATCTCTCCCTCTCTTTCACTTTCTCCTCTTTATTTCTTTGTTGTGTGTTTTCAGCTCTGTTTGTGTTTGTGCATGCACTGACCTTTCCACCAGTGGTGTGTTAGTGATGAGATTACAGTAAGCTGCTCTGCTCTTCGCCCTGTCATCCCTATGCATAATACACTGATGCACAGGTGTCCAGTGTGTGTGTGTGTGTTCAGGTTTGTGTACATTAATGCATGCTAACCTTCATATTATTGTGTGTCTGGGTCTTTGATTTTGGATCGGCTTTCTAACTATCAATTTCTCGATCACGCCTTCCTGCCCTCTCTCTCTCTATTTCTTTTTGTCTCTGGCTCGCTCGCTCTCTTGCTCTCTGTCTTCGTCGATTGGATTTGTCTCAGCTCTTGGCAGGCTTTAATGACAAGAAAATCCTAATTGCATTGCTTTGTAACTCCACAAGCCAGTGTCCTAATAGACAACTTGACATCAATCGCCCTGCCTTTGTGTGAGTTTATCTGCATGTGTGAGAACGTGAGGTGTGAGTGTGTTTATCTGTGGTTAAAAGCCTTCCTATTGATCTGCTTCTGCAGCCAGGCTCTCGATCCCTGGAGATCATCTCCGGTCAGTCATGCTTTCTCTATGAGGATGTCGACCATATATGTTTTTACTTACTTACAGTTTAACATCTGTTTGTTTTTAAGCAACACAAAAACAACTGGACTGATTTCCACGGAACTTGGTGATATGATGCCGTATGGGTCAGAGAAGAACCCGTTCATTTTCACCATGTTCCCCAGTAAATAATTAATTTATCTTGATGGAAAATAACATTTCAGGGGACTGTTGGGCCTTCGCGGTTGGGCCTTGTATGTGCTCTACTAAGTTACTTGTTCAATGGGGCAGTTAGAGGTTTTTAATCTCTTTAATTAGTCTGGGACATGTAGGTGGAATCAGTAGATGATCAATGTTTTTTCTTTCACCCCAAGATCCATGGTTCATGTTTAAAAAATGGTTCACACAATTATTTTTTTATATTTGTACATAAATGTAGAAGCTACTTGTAATCAGAACATCTTTCAAAGTGTTCCACTGGCAAATATTTTCAATTGTAGAAAAATACTGCTGACCAATTTTCACAGACACCATTCTCTGTGACATTATATATTTGCGCTATATTTAAATGTCTACATTGAATCCTTGACTCTGCTGCATCAGATGTGAGACGGTTGGTGGAGAAAACCAGACAAGCTGGAAAGTTTGGCTCAAGTCATGTATCTGCCAGGTGAGACTGTTTTGACTGTAACTTTATTTGTTCATTATCACTGGGATCTGATTTAAGAATAAAGTACAGTTACAGTAGACAGTACTGTTGTACTAAACATACACACTACAGTGGATGTTTTTTTCCAGTGCTATTGCGATTGTCAACTTTTTCCCAAGATGATGGGAACATTTTTTGTTCAATTTGTTCTTTTGTTAAATATCTAGAAGTGATTGGACTAATATTAAAAGAAAAGACACCATATCATTGGATAAAACTAATCTGTTGTGTGCCAAATTAACTACAAGCAAACCAGATACTTATCTCGAATAAATATATCAATACATCTTTAAATTGTTATGTCTTCAAGTATGAAAAATTAATGATAAAAGATCAAACCTTATTAACTTTGTACGGCAAAATAGAGTGTGTGTGTGTGTGTGCACGCGCCGCATGTGTGTTTATGTGCATTGTCATTCAAGCAAAATGATTGTCTTTGATAGGGAGTTCTCATCCAGAAACCATCAAGAGAACTTTGCACAACACACACACACACACACACACAGGCTAAAGCACAGTTAATTGTCGTCCTTGTCTCAAAAAGGCATTTTTCCATTGACTGACTGTTTCGCTCCCCTACCTCCTCTGATTCTCTCTCTTTATTTCTCCCTCCTGCACATATTAATACAAGTGGAAGATGTAGTGAAAAAGTAAACGTATAATTAGGCTACATTACTTTGATTGTTTTCTTTTCAGATTATGCCGGCTGTCATAGCCGCAATGCACGAGAGGGCGAAGGGCACGATGCGATTGGACAAGGGGAGGGAAAGGGAGGGGCATGATGGTGTGTTTGCACATGCATGTGTATGTGTGTGCGTGCGTGTGTTAGGGACCTCCTGCCGCGAATCAAGATTGTGTTTCTAGCGGGGCCTAATGTTTTGTTTACTGAGTGTTAATAATGCCTAATTAATAATCCCCCCAATCTGCCTGACACTCTGAGAGAGCAGGGAAATGGTATTGACAAAGAGATGGAGAATCAGTGCACGGCATCAGCCGACGGGTTCAAGCAAATTCAGCCAAAGAAAAAGAAAATTTAAACTTCATTGATGTTTAGCACCAAACAGAATATAAGAGTGATGATTTGAGCAATTTTATGAGTGACCAGGAACTGAGAGACATTAGTGACCACACACATCAAGACTGAAGACAAAACTGTCCAACTTCTACAGAAAACAAATATGTGTGAGCTTAAGAGAAAACCCACAGATGGTTCTCACTACTCCCAACAAGTAGCATGTGTTTAGCAGTATATGTTTTGTAAAGATGTAGAAACTGTTTATTGTCTTTTTCTCATAGTTTCGAAATCGCCGTCGCTTTGGTAAGAAGGAGGAAGCAACAGCAATATAGTATGAACGTAGTGTGTGTGTGTGTGTGTGTGTGTGT